AATTGCGCATCTGTGTCTTGGTTGTTTGTTCAACTGTGTGCTGTCTGCTGCGTTGTACTGTGGCACTGCTGTGTTGGGGAACTCACGTGCGACTCATCTGTGGTTGACGACAACCGACACGGCATGTGCGTGCATGTAGTGCGTGACTGGTTTGTGCAGCTGACTCTCAAGTGTGTGGGCAACAACCCATGGGAACGGCCGTCGTTTCAAGAGTTGGAGATGAAGATGCATGTGAACAAGGGATGAGACGCTGCTTTTGTTTGTGTATGATTGCCCATGCGAGTGGCTGTCTGCTTGCGCCTTGTCATCTCGCGCTCTAAATGTACATGCCAGAAAGAGGGAAAGATCCCGCTCGCAAGTGCATCAAACCACAGGTAATAACAAGACAAGACGATGAAGAGAACAAGAGAGGCAGACCAACAACAGAGAAGACATTCAAGCAGCGATGTGGAGTGTTTGCGATTTGCGAATAACACCATCAATTTTCATCATCCTCCACAGTCTTCGCAGACGCACAACAAGCAGCACTGGAGCAAGCGCAACCTCGCTCAGCATCATCATCAAAGACGAGGCAGACAATCTCTCCTCTCCTCACAACGCTAGGCCGCTGTACACTGCGCGCCTGTCTCTCTGGCACCTTCATCTTCGCGCGTGCGACGAGTGCATTCAACAATACAGCCATCACTGAGACGTTTGGGCCCGTTCACGCACGCGGATTTTAGGGATTTGCTCTCACAACGAGACAGACAACGAACTCGAGGAACACGCACAACAAGACTAACAAGAGAAGACAGCCATGGCCCTGCCCTCGTCGATCCTCTCGCTCTCGCCAAAGAAGACAAGAGCAGCACGAGCTGCTGTTGCCTGTGCATGGCTGCACCTGTTGCTCTTGGCGTTGGTGCCGGTGCTGACATGTGGTGTGCGGGCGCAAGGAAGCGTCACCCCCAAGGTTGACACAGCAATACCGACGCCACCAAGGCACCCTTTTGCTGAGACTAATGTACTGTGCTTGCCGGAGTCCCTGAATCCGGATTCGATCGCATCATCTGCTGCGTCAATCTTGCACGTTGGCTGTTCTGCGCACAGCACGCTGTGCCGCGAGGCCAAGGCTGAGCTGCGGCAACTGCTGCAACTCGTTCACGGTGCACCCCACGTTCACAACACGACTGACGTCGACGACAAGAGCGACAACAGGACGGGCGACGGGGCGTCTGACCCACCCCAACCGCAAGCAACTGCCACCGCGCTGCAACGTGCACTCACCTTCTTCTGTGACAGCGGCAGTGGAGGAGTTGACTCAGATGAGCTTCATCCTGTCAAGGAACAGCAAGCGCACCAAGCAACGCCACTTGCTGCAGACGTGCCAACGCCAAGAACGCCAAGCAACGGTGACTTCTTCGGTGAATCCGCAGCAGATCCTCCGCTGTCACGACCACCACCTGGCGTCCAGAAACACCAGCGATCAGCTGCTCCGCGTGGACAGTCGCGGTCCAGGACCCGCCGGAACGAGATCAACTTCGATGCAGCGCACGCCGTGTGCACGTTGTCCAGTCTGCTTTTCCTCAACTGCACCTCGCCTCCCACTGCTGTTCCCACGAGTACGTTGGAAGTGATTGTGGATGCTGATGAAGAGCTGGGCGCCCTCACCACGCAGCCTGACCCCGACTTCAACACCACCATCGCCGCAGAATACGTGCGGCAACAGACGGCAGCCTGGGAGCCACAGCGCCTTTTTGTCAGTGGGGCGGTGTACTTGGAGGATTTGGTGTGGCTGCTCAACAGCGGCACGTGGGACATCATGGCCAACCTCAGGCTTACAGGGCTTCACAGGCCCACACTGTGTCTCAACATCTTCAACCCTTTGGCACGCGTTCGCGACATTCGCATCTCGGACGGCCATGTCATTCGTCTCGCGCAACGCTGCAGCGACGATGAGCCAACATTCCAACCACTTCTTAAACAGCTTCGGGTGCACCGAATGGGCATCCGTGAGATTGAAGACGGCACATTCCGCGATCTGGGTGCCTTGAACACAGTCGACTTGCAAGGCAACCAGCTGACCACGCTCACGGCTAGCACTCTGCTTGGGCTGAGGCACGTGGATACCCTCACGCTGCGCGACAACCACATCGGTGTCATTGAGGACGGTGCGTTTGCTGGTATGACCCAGCTGAGAATCCTGAACTTGATTGAGAATGATCTGACCAAACTGGCGGAGCAAACATTCTCGCCGCTGAGCACGCTGCATTCGTTGCACCTGGGCAGCAACCCAATCGACACCTTGCCGCCACGTGTGTTTTCATCCCAGACGCGGCTAAAGATTCTTGCGATGAACAACTGCAACCTTCAACGCCTGCCGCCCGCCTTGTTCCAGAACACAACGGTGCTGAGAGAGGTGCGCTTCGACAACAATCAGCTCAGTCAGGTTCCAAACAGCCTCTTCCATCCGCTGCGGCAGCTGGCGAGATTGGAGCTGAACCACAACCGCCTGGCGCGCGTTGACGCCCTTTGGGCGGGAACACTTGAGACGCTGCTGCGGCTTCAGCTGGACAGCAATGCTCTTACGGTCATTGACCCGTCACTCGTGCCATCTGCACCGAGGTTGACCATTTTAAGCCTCCACCACAACGCGTTGGATTCATCCGTCCTGCTCTCGCTGCGCGACCATGCGCAGCTGACCAGTGTCGTTGTGAGCTTCAACCGCATCACCACTATACCTGCAGGCGCGTTGCGCAACATGACGCGGCTGGTGCACCTGTCGCTGACCGACAACTTCCTCACTGCGTTTCCGCCTCGAGAGCTGCCGTCCCTTCTGTCCCTTCACCTCAGGAACAATCCCCTCACAGCCCAGCCAGATGTGTCTGGGTATCCACAGCTTGACGAAGTGGCACTCACCAACCACCGCATTCCACATCTGGATGTGACGCCGCTCTTGCGGCTGACGCTGCTGCACAGGCTGGAGATTGCGGCGGCCAGCGACGTACCCTTCGCTTCAGTTGCGTTGAGTGATTTGGGCAGTCTGCCGGGCTTGAAGCAGCTCGTCGCTGTGGACATGAGGAACATGGACGTGACGCCTTTGCTCGGCCTGGTGCAGACTGCTACTGCAGGCACACTTGCGTTTCGCGAGCTTTCCCTTGGCTGGAGTGGCATGGACGAAGTCTCCTTTCCCTTGGAGGACATTTGCGCCCTCCTTCACGACAATGTCATCCGCTTTGAGCTGTCCAACACGGCATTCACGCACGTGCGCCTGTGCGATGGCGTGGCCTACGACGCCGTCTTCCTCCAAGACAACCTGCAGCTGCAGAGCGTGAGCAGTGTCGGCGGTGTGCAGCAGCTCAACGTGTCCGGGTGTCCACATCTGCAGCAGCTGCAGGTGCCGTCAGCAGAGGTGCTGGACATCAGTGGCACACGGGTGCCGCTGTTCCGTGGACTGTGCACGTCGCTTGGAACACGCACGGTTGTTGCACGCAACTGGCAGACTGGGGACTTGACAAACACAGCACGCTTGCGGCAGCTGCTATCCCAGTGCTTGGCGTTTGGGGGTGTGGATGTGCTGGACCTGAGCGACAATGCGCAGCTCAATCGACCCAGCGTCGTGAACAGTGTGCTGTCGGAGGTCGTTGTGTTGGGAGCAGAAGGCCTACACTTGACTCACGACTTTGCATTTGTTCCTGGGCGACCGAGCATTGGGCTTCTGCAGTTGGCCGACAACCCCATCACGTGCCAGCTGCAGTTTGTCAATGTGCAAACACGCATTGCGCTCCAAATCCGCCATTTCCGGTCCCAAGAGCTGGGCTACTTCTACACGTGCCAGTGTGCGCAAGGGTACGAGCATCGCGGTGGCCACTGTCGTGTGATCGAGCGTGACAACACAGCAGCGGTGCTGGGCACGCTGGCGGGCTTGTTGGCGTTCCAGGGCATCCTGTTCGCCGCGTACCGCACATACACACGACAGCGACGCCTGCAGGCGGACAACGCGCTGAAGGAGCAGCTGCTGGTGGAGCGAGACGCGGAGGTGATGGCACTGAAGAAGGTGTGGGAGATCGAGTACGATGAGCTGAGGATGATCAAACGGGTTGCTGCGGGTGCGTTTGGCGTGGTATTCAAGGCACAATGGGACACGGTGACGGTGGCAGTGAAGGTGCTGCAGCAAGGGGTGATGATGTTTGACGAGAGCACGGTGGTTGAGTTTGAGAAGGAGGTGGAGTTCTTGCAGCGGACACGGCATCCACACGTGGTGCGGTTCTTTGGGGCGGGCACCGATCCCAACGGCAGCCCATTCCTTGTGCTGGAGTTTGTGGCGATGGGGTCGCTCAAGGACTTGTTGGGCAAGGACATGGCGCGGGTATTGCAGGAGGTTGCAGAGAGGAACAATGATGATGATGCTGAAGGAGAAGAGAGGGAGGAGAAGGCAGAAGGGATGGCGGGGGTGTGGGAGCTGAAGCTGCGGCTGTTGCGCGATGTTGCGAGTGGGATGGCCTTTATCCACAGTTTGGATCAAGTGCACAGGTATGTGTGTGTGTGTGTGTGTGTGTGTGTATGTGTGTGTGTATATATATATATATATGTGTGTGCGTGTGTGTGTGTAGTTGGGGGGGGGGAACGGTTGTGGCGGCGTTGTGGCGTTGGTCATTGTTGTGTAACTGCGGGTCGTCACCATCACTGAACACACACACACACATTCACACACATTCGTAATCAACCCAAAGCTTGTGCACCGCGGAGGTGATGCACTGAAGGATGTGTGGGAGATCGAGTACGATGAGCTGAGGATGATCAAACGGGTTGCTGCGGGTGCGTTTGGCGTGGTATTCACGGCACAATGGGACACGGTGACGGTGGCAGTGAAGGTGCTGCAGCAAGGGGTGATGATGTTTGACGAGAGCACGGTGGTTGAGTTTGAGAAGGAGGTGGAGTTCTTGCAGCGGACACGGCATCCACACGTGGTGCGGTTCTTTGGGGCGGGCACCGATCCCAACGGCAGCCCATTCCTTGTGCTGGAGTTTGTGGCGATGGGGTCGCTCAAGGACTTGTTGGGCAAGGACATGGCGCGGGTATTGCAGGAGGTTGCAGAGAGGAACAATGATGATGATGCTGAAGGAGAAGAGAGGGAGGAGAAGGCAGAAGGGATGGCGGGGGTGTGGGAGCTGAAGCTGCGGCTGTTGCGCGATGTTGCGAGTGGGATGGCCTTTATCCACAGTTTGGATCAAGTGCACAGGTATGTGTGTGTGTGTGTGTGTGTGTGTGTATGTGTGTGTGTATATATATATATATATGTGTGTGCGTGTGTGTGTGTAGTTGGGGGGGGGAACGGGTTGTGGCGGCGTTGTGGCGTTGGTCATTGTTGTGTAACTGCGGGTCGTCACCATCACTGAACACACACACACACATTCACACACATTCGTAAACACACACACACACACATTCGTAAACACACACACACACATTCACACACACATGCATGCACTGCAGGGATCTGAAGAGCGGCAATGTGCTGGTGTCATCGCGACTGCGTGCCAAGATCACGGATTTCGGATCCATTCGCCAGTGCCTCGCGGGTGGCACCGCAAACGTGCC